TGTAAAGTATGCAGCAGTCTTTGCAGAAATGTGCAAGCAATCGAATGCAACATGTTTAACACGCATTACATCATAATTTCTGATCGGATAACCTTATAAAGCAATAAATAGTTCTCCCTGTCAAATGACCCGTTGTGGTAGAAATAGGTATACGACAAGTATTATTCGAAGTGAACAAAATACAAAAAGTAATAATAATAGAATATTAACTGTATATAATTGTTAGAAAAAGTCATGAAGTGAAATGTGCAAAAACGATAAGATGATAAGCGCATTTTCCATGCAAATGTTCTTCAATGGTCATTTGACCGGTTGTGGTATGTTTATTGTTAAATATACTTACTATAACGCAATTCCTTCCAAAAAGTCGGATATATCATGGCATGTGCCCATACGGTCAATACACAAAGTAGAACCCGAAGTCCATTAAGGTAGTCTAAAGATGTTTTCTTGACGTTCTCCGCAAATAACTCTTTCGTATTAGTATAAAGCGAAAAACCTTTCAGAACTTGCCGGGTTAAACCTGACAAAGACGAAATATTCGTTAAAATGTATAGCTTAATGTAATGTAGATAACTATATGTACAATGCAACAACAAAATAAAATTTAAAAAAAAAAACAAAAAAAACGGACCTCTTAACAACTTTGATCTAATGATCGGATTTTCGCTTTCTAGGATTCAATTTTAATGGCTCCAGAACAGTGTTTCCCAAACTTATGACTTTTGTGCACCCTATCTAAATTTTTCATAAAGCTGTGTACCACTAATAAAAAAATGAATGTATTTTTTACTATAAAAAATTGCACAAAAGTTAAAAATCACACCTGGCTGTTGATATAACTAATAACTGTTAACTCTGCAAAGAATAGCCAATAGAAAAGTACGTTATCGTAAATATTAATGGCTAACTTTATTTTTAAATAAAATTTTTTGAAATTTTCGTTTGTTGCAAGATATTTCGCATAAGAACGCGTACCCCAGCTAAACTGTTCCCGTACCCCTGGGGGTACGCGTACCACACTTTGGGAAACACTGCTCTAGATGATGATCTCAAAAAAGCCAATTAATAAGTGCAGATGATATTTTAAGCTACGATAAGCACAAATAGGCACATACAATAGGCACAAAAACGTACTTTCGCTGAAGAAGCCTACACGTTTTTCGACTGATTTGGATTTCTAACCGCCAAAACATAGGGGGTAGCCGCAATCTGGGAAATAGGGCCCCAATAGTTTTGTCAGGAGAGCGCTCCAAAGTTTGGGCTCCGTAATGTTAATTTTACTTTTTGCGTACTTAACTTTATCCCGAGAACTGTTTAACCGAATTGAAACATTTTTGCACACAATTATAAAATTCATTTGTCCAAAGATAATCATTAAGCAAAAAATAGTTTTTAGTAAATGTTGATTATGTCTTATAATTATATTTAATAACTAGGAGGCTTCGCCCCCTGCTCGCTGGCGCTCTCCAACCCCCGGAACTGCTTTCGCAGTTCATTTCGGATTGCTGCGCAATCCAATGCTCGCTTCGCTCGCTTGGGTACGTTCTTAACGTCTAGCTTTTGAATACTGAAGTTCCGAAAACTTTTCACTGTAGAAAATTCTAAACCTGTACATTTCAATATTAATTTGAAATTGCAAACAGTTCACATATTTTACTTAATCACACTATTCTAAATTTCAGTTGTTGAGAAAAGTAATTGTTGATGAAGCCCATCATTTTGTGTTTTCATCTGTGTTCAAAAGCAGAACAACTATAAGTTTTTTATTTTATACAGGACTGGCGATACAACACTTATAGAATTGAAGGATTTGTTGCGTCAAGAGCTCAGGTATCATAATTTTGATCCAGTTGCGCTTCTATGTCATTTTGATTTATGTTGATAACTTTCAAAAAATTCTATGGTTGCCAACAGCATTTTTATTTTTTAAATTGTTTATTTTTATTTCTTTTAGAATTCGTTATTTTTTAAGCGAAATGTTTTTTAACCTAACAGAATTCTTTTCCGACTGATATAAGAAGAAAATAAAGTAAATATTTAAGTGTTGTGAAAAGAAACTTNTTTTCAAAACAAGGCAAATGTTGCCACCGGCGGAAAAGAAATACAGCCAAAATTTGGGAGCCACGTAAGAGATGATGAGACATATAATAGATTGTCTAAGAATTTGGAATTGTAAAGTATGCAGTTTTTTGCATCAATTTAAAGAGCATTATTTCACAATGAAAATTACCAAATTTGAACAAAATTGGTCAAATAGTTCCTGAGAAATCGAATTTTAAACATCTCACTTTTTTATTTCATGAAAATTAAATTTTCAGAAACTTTTGAACCCATTTTGCTCAAATTTAGCATTTTACCACGCAAAATGATATTCCTTAAAATGAAATTCAAATTCCTTATTGCCTATTCAAAAATATTTATTAAATAGAATAATAATTATTATTAAATAAATAGTATTATTAAATAAAATGATAAATTTTCTTTGCAATTCTAATTTTCTTTGCATGGAATTATTATTGGATAAGCGAATTTTATAACTGTGATCAAGTATTTTTCAATTCACCTAAAATGTTCTAGAGATATATAAGGGTCCAAACTATGGAGCACTCTCTTGACCTAAATATTGAGACTATATATCTCAGACTGCGGCTACCTCTTATAATTTGAGGGTTGACCCCGTTAAAATATATCTATGACAATCAACAATCGTTCAAAAACAGCTGAAAAAAATTATCAGCATTTGAAGAAAAAAAATTTGACGTAAAGCAATTACTTGCTATTGGCTTTGATGGTAAAGCTATAAATACAGTTTGAAACTTCAACCATGGTTCAAAGGGTTCTTATGTCCCCTCCATTTCAATGAGCCTCTTTTTAGACATATTTTTTTTAACCATTAGATGTTCTAAAAAAGTGGCACGGTAAAATTCTGACTTTGCGAATGGTGAGATTCGACTGGATGAATGTTTAGTTAAGCACCGACCGGACTGTGTAGTAGTCAGGGTCTTGACCTCTCACCAGAAAAGTCCTCAGTTCGAATCCCGGACAAGGCATTGGATATTCCTCATTCTCTGTCCTCACAGTGGGAGCAACGTTGGCTACCTAATATGGGGCCCCTGAAAGAGTGGCCAACAAATCTGCCCTACTGATATCTTTATATGATATAACGAGTGTCACTCGATTGGGCATTGGAAAAAATATTTAGTTATCTAATGTTAAAATCAACTTAAACAGCTTAAAATATAAAAAAAAGTTCTTTTAAAATTTTTTTGGCCTTTTATTCCTATTCGCTTTTTTCGAATTGAACATTTTTTTTACTTATTTATCATCAAAAAATCCGTTTGCAGTTTTTACTATCAGATTCTTAAATTCTTACATATTTTCTAGTAGGCCACGAATTGTGAATATCCGTGGTTATAAACTTTTAATAAAATACACAAAAGTAATAACTTACTTTCCGGATATTTCAGCTTATTTTCCTTCCTTTTTCTGTCCTTTAAATCCAGTATTGTACCACTTGCGCAAACAAGTAACAAAACAACTAGAAAAATCCTGAAAATGTTTTTATTTTTTTGTTTAATTTAATTAAACGAAAACAAATTATTTCGATAACAAAAGATGCGGCTGTTAATTTCCTGAATCGGTCTAATAAATCCTTAAAATATTATGTGAATTGCATGACTATTTAAGATGCTTGAAAACAATCTCCATCTGAGGAGAGTCGCTTCTTTAATCGGCTGTAAAATTTTTCAGAGACAGCTTTAAAACTACTTTCTAAATATCGTTAAATTTTGCCCTACATAGTAAAGTTTCTTTTGAAAAACTCGATGTCTGGGAATCATCTCGTATTTTTTTAAAAAAATATACAAAAATTTAATAATTGATATTTCCACTCTTTCCCAATCTTCGGAATCCACTCTTCCCACCCTTTCCACTCTTAGTATTGATCCCACTCTTTCCCAATGATTGGAAATATTTTCAAATTTAATTTTTTTTTGCAAACAACGGACCCCCTAACATCTTTTTCTTATCTCTCTTATTTTATTTTTCTGTTCTAGCATGTTTCTCTGTCCTCGTTCGCGATACCCATTTACACGGGTTTTTCTCTTTCTACTGTTATTTGATGTTTTGACTTCGAGGAAAATTCTTGCCGAAGAACCGAAACTATAGCATGCCTATTTCTGTAGTTTTATTTATTCTTCATTCACGTTGTTTCTTGCCTTAGTTCCTGGTGTCTTTAACATTCCTAAACCTTGTTCCCTTAGTAAATTTACATTTCAGTGTCGTAAATATATATATATATA